AAGGCTTTTTACTGGCTGCTCAGACAATGTTGGGATTTGATCATGCCCGATGAAGAATTTCAGTTTAGAGAGTTTTCCCTTCACAATTGAGATGCTGCGTGACTTGGATGGTTTAATCTTCAAACGGGCCCAGCTGATGTTCTCCTCGAGCTTTCTGAGCAGTCTCCTGGTGCATGGAACAGTGGTGGTCAATGTTGTAATGTCATCCATGTAGGCTCTGAGTGGAGGGAGGCGGTAACCAGAGTTGACTCGCTGTCCACCAACAACCCATCTTGAGGCTCTGATGATCACCTCCATTGCCATTATAAATGCCAATGGAGAAATGGTACAGGTACACCCTGCCATTATACCTACATTCAGGGTCTGCCATGAGGTGGTGAACTCTGAGGTGGTGAAGCAGAACTGCAGATCCTGGAAGTACGACCTCACCAGGGTTGTGATGGTGTCCGGTATGTGGAAAAATCTGAAGGCAGACCACAGTAGTTCATGGGGCACAGAGCCAAATGCATTGGCGAGGTCTAGGAAGACTACATGGAGGTCCCTTTTCTCCACTTTGGCCATCTGAATCTGGTGCCAGATCATGCTGGAATGTTCCAAGCAGCCAGAGAACCCTGATATTCCTGCCTTCTGTACAGATGTATCGACATACGCATTCTTTTGAAGGAACTCGGCCATCCTCTGAGCAATGACCTTAAAGAAGATTTTACCCTCGACATTCAGTAAGGAGATTGGGCGGAATTGGCTGATAGTCTCTGCATCCTTCTCCTTAGGGATCAGGACCCCGCCTGCCCTGCGCCACACTTTGGGTATTTTCTTCTTTTGCCAAGCTGTTCTCATAAGTCTCCAGAGGAACCTCAGGACGTCTGGTGCGTTCCTATACACTTTGTACGGGACTCCATTTGGCCCCGGGGCTGATGCTGTTCTTGCCCGTCGAACTATGTTTTCCACCTCTTTCCATGTCGGAGGACTGGTCTCAATATGATATTCTGGGGGTTCAATGGGTGGAATATCTGATGGGATGGCCAGATGCTCATGTCGCTTTGAGTCAAAGTTTGTTGTTCTCAGGTGCTCCTCTAGATCTTTCTTTGTTGTTTTTAGAGCTCCACTTTTTTCCTCTGTGAAGAGACTTTTAAGGAACTTGAAGGGATCTTTATAGAAACGGGTTCTAGTTTGCTCTTTCTTCCTTCTGCGTTTCCGTAGGTTCTCTGCTCTACGGAGAGACGCCAACCGGGTTTTGATGTCAGCCTGAAGTGCCTCTATGCCCTCCTTTTCTACTTCCGAGGCCTTCTTCCACTGTTTTTTAAGCTGTCCCCTTTCTTGAACGAGGCGCTTGATTTCTTGTTGCCTCCTGGAAACTGGTGGGGTTGGGACCTTCCTCCTGCCTTTTGCCTCTTGCACTCCAAAGCTTTCTACCCCATACTCATAAATGATGTTGCCCATGCTCTCTAACTTCTTCTCCACTGTGCCTCGAAGTTTCTCGAGGGTCAAGGTAAGGTCAGTATTCACTGTTTCCCACAGCTTCTTGTCACTGGCACCAGGCCACTTCACACACGGTCTGTGCCCTAGTAGTCTCCTCTCGACTACAGGTCTGGGGGGATGGGTGATTTCCACTCCTGTTGTTGGTTCCACCTCAGTTGTTATTTTGGTGCTTGGGTTTACATCTTCCATGACAGCGGTACTGATGCACTGCAAACTGTGGTGTCCTGGTGGATCCTCAACCCATGGTATGATGTAACTTTCCTCCACCCGCAGACACATACCTGCATCTCCTTGTGGCCAGCTGTTGCAGCGGAACTTGTGACAGTTGCTGTGGTGTTCTCTTGTGCTGTGCTCTCATTACTCGTAGTCGTTTCCAGTCCAGTCGTTACCATGGTATCAGTCAATGAGAAATCGGCTCTTGTCAACGTGAACGTGCCCGCGACTCAGTAGTACCCACAAACACTAACATTACACACCACATGTCCCGGTTTCTGTAAAAATAAACCAACACACATAACGTTACAGTCAGCTCTGGCCGATGGTGTTTTCAGTGCAGTGAATGTGTCCGCGCTGTCCCGCGCCCACATTCACTCATAGACATGATAATCCCCACGGGGATCACCCCGCTCGCTCTCTCAGCCGGCTGCTATAAGGGAATCAAGCGCGGCAAGGTTGCCCGGCCCGCCTCATACACTGCAAGCACCATAGACAGTAAAAGCACAAGCACACACAATCTAAAGACACGGGAGGCTGACCGGTTGACTGTTTGTTGACTTTAATTTGCGACAGTGCTGCGGAGCTTGTGGCCTCTAGGGACGTTGGACGTGAAAATTACATGTCGAGCACCATCTAGTGGCCAAAAAGTTCCGCAGTGTGGCTTTAAAGCAAGGACAGGTTGGCCACGTGACCCGGAAGTAATAGTAAATATGGCCTATCAAAATAAAAGCCAAGCTTTTAGAACGGTCATAATATGCAGCACTAACGTTGTAGGAAATAAATAGAAACCTGGACCGGAATAAATATGTTAGCAACAGTATTACAGCTACAGCTATAATATCATACCTATCCAGCCTTCACTAGTCACGTTTAATGAGCGCATTGTTTGGCTCAATACAGTTGGTAAGGTTAACCTAAGAACTTATTGTGTGTGCAGAGTTGTTACTGTTAGAGCTATATTATATAATTATATTTAATGTGGTTTCCACACCGTAATGGACCACTGTTTCCCCTTTCTACCAGCAGGTGGCTGACTGACTGTATGGTGTCTTTGGTAACTCTTTTAAATCAAGATTACTGATACAGATATATTTATTGTTGTTCATTTTATTTGGTTTTTGATTTTATTTGCCTAGTTATCATCATCATTATTCACCCAGCCCAGAGTTAAACCTGCTTCTGTTTTAACCTGATTCTAACTATGATTCTAACACTGATTTCAGCTTCTTAGCAGCTCAGACAACAAACTCACATCAGAAATGTCCTAATGTAGGCCATCTGGCCAAAAGAATGATTTACCAGTGTGCTGTGTGAATCTTTCTTCTCTATACACATTCCAATGTGTATAAAATACAAAATACAAAAGATAGTGTGATGCAAGTGAAGAGAATCCAAGTCTTAAAACTTTATATAGCACATTCATGCTTTCAAAGGCATTGGATGTACAATCAATGGCTGCAGAATATTTGTTAAGCCCTAAGGTAAGAAGATTTTACAAGGTCCTCAAAAGAAATAACAAAAACATAATTACATTACAAAAAAACAGGCTGTCAACGCTAATTACATCAGCAATAACTGCAACAAAATGTTTCCCGTAACTTTTGAACAGTATATATGTTTTTTTGTAAAATAATAGTCAGAAATTAAATGGGATATTTTATTGTATATTTACTGCACTTACTGTACCCTGTAACTATACAGAACAAGGGGGTAATTCACTTTAATTTACAGCCGGCAGTAGTTACACTTACCCTGTAGATAGCCTACACAGTTGAACAGGTAACAAACACTACTTACTATGTAACAATACGAAACAACACTATTTGCACAGTAATTACAGAGAAAAGTACTCTTATTAAGAAAAAAAAAAAAACAACAAAAATATTTAACTACACATATTTGCCCTGACATTTAAGTGTCATTCATTGTATTACAATGTGATAAGGTAAGTACTAGGTATGGTATGTTCTAAATTAAATTCATAGCAGAAACTTTATTTTTGGCTTAATGTTAAGTAGTTTAGTAAGAAAAGCCAATAAATTCATACTGAATTTACTGCTTTTTTTCATACTGTGCTTACACACAGCCACATCTCTATCTATCTATCTATCTATCTATCTATCTATCTATCTATCTATCTATCTATCTATCTATCTATCTATCTATCTATCTATCTATCTATCTATCTATCTATCTATCTACAGGGGTTGGACAATGAAACTGAAACACCTGGTTTTACAACACAATAATTTGTTAGTATGGTGAGGGCCTCATTTTGCATCCAAATACAGCACCAATTCATCTTGGGAATGACAGAAGTCGAGCCGTTCCTCTTCCAGAACAGTGTCCAGGTCACTATTTGATGCTGGTGGACTCGCTCCTCCAAAACACCTCAATAATATTCAGATCTGGTGACTGTGCAGACCATGGGAGATGTTCAACGTCACTTTCATCTTCATCAAACCCTTCTGTCACAAGTCTTGCTGTGAGTGTTGGTGCATGATCATGCTGATACACGGTTTGAGCATCAGGTGCTCATGATCCTCCAGAAGGGTTTGGTAGTCCTCGGCAGTGTCGTGTCCATCAAATACAATCAGGATTGTCATGATATTGGAGCTCAAACCATCACTGATCCACCCGTGCTTCACTCTGAAGATTGGCCGCCAGGCATATAGATGTGAAACCTCCAACATTGGCCAGTGTTTCAGTTTCATTGTACAACCCCTCTATCTATCTATCTATCTATCTATCTATCTATCTATCTATCTATCTATCTATCTATCTTTAAATATATATATATATATATATATATATATATAACGTAGACCGTAATTTTGGTTTACTTACGAAGTTCTTTGCAGGTTATCAGCTTGTTACCCCTTTATTAAGGCTACCCAAAACTTAAAATATTGTTCCCTTACCTACACGGAGGTACACTACACTATTACAGAAATGTACGCAGTTGTTTGCGGGTCGTAATACAAAGTATTACCATCATATATATTATTATAGTGGTTATTAGTATATTTTAAAAGTATAAAGTAAAAAGTACATTTTGGGCATTAGTTATTATTACGAATTACACCACCGTGACATCCCGTTTCAGGCAACATCAGCTGCCATATTTCCCCGTAAATTTAATAGGATTGTTTCATAGAATACAATATGTGTTCAAACGTTAACAAACGTAGTATAGCTATACAATGTTAGATTTTAGACAAAGCGCACGTTCCTCGCCCAGCAGCGCACGTTTCTCGACAGATGAAGGAAGGTGGCTCCACCCCTGTACTAATATCTCCCTTCTGAGAGCGCATACTGACGGAAGAAATGTGCTGCCCGAACCACTACTACGCGCGTGTGATGCATCTATCCACACATGCTCTGATAGCAAACCACGTCACAATCCTTGCAAGTAACAGTTTAAACAAAAAAAATGGTTCCTTGATGCATTGCATTTGTTGAGCATTTAAAGACCAACGGGTGGGATATTGTATCGGACTTCGTGAAACGCTGTCGCTGGAGGAAACTTTCATGCGCTCAGTCTGATCACCGGATTCTCCTTTAGAGGGAATGAGACGAGTGAAGTCAGGAAAGTTAGGCTGAAGGAAAATGTCGGCGACATATGGCTCACCTTTTTCGAACAAAACCAGCCAATATGAGGACGCAGTCGAGGGCAACTGGCACCTTCTCTTTGGTTTATCCTTCGCCATCTCCACCTTCACTTGCCTGGGAGGTTTGTACTCGCTTATGTCGCTGCTCAAGATGAGGACTAAGTCTTCCCTCTGTCTGATAGTAGCTTCTTTATCCATAGACGACCTGATCAGCGTCGTGCCGCTCACGCTCTTCATGATCTTGCAATGGAGGAGCGGAGACGCAAACCGGCCGGGCGCTATGTGCACCCTGTCCGGAATCCTGTATGTTTTCCAAGGATTGTCAAGCAATATGAAAGCCTGTCTCCTAGTTGCTTACACTTTCTACGTGACAAAGCGCTTTGGAGTGTATCAAACCCATAACCGACCTTTCTGGGTGTTTGTGGCGGTGGTGGCGGTTTGGACGGTGAGTCTCACGGTCAGCGTCCTGCCTGTGTGCGGCTGGGGCCGCTTCGCCCCCGCTTCTGTCGGTTGTCTCCCGGAGAACGACAGCCTGTACGTGCTGCTTCTGTTCTCTGTTTACTCACTGTGTTTCTGTGGGCTGGTTATTTGTTCGGTTCCTCTCTTCTACCAGCTCATGTGCTCCACGGAAGCCATGAGAACATTTTACCCGAGCTATTTTGAAATTACCGGGTCGGCACCGCTGTGTGAGATCCCCTCTTTGTCACGGGATAGCTTGGATAAAAGTTTGGAAGCCTACAATGAATTCAACTCGAACATTGCCAGTTTTAAAAACAAAACGGAGACGTATTCACTGTCATATTCTCCAGCAACCGGTCATTTCCAGAAAGATGGAGCTCAGAGTGCACGTTATTCCCCTGTGTTTTTCTCTCAAAAGCGCTTCTCGATGATTCTGGCCATGGCTCGAATGATTCTATGGATGCCAATGATGGTGAGAGCTATAAGAACAATGTTCAGACATGTTCACTTGAAAAATCCTTGAAAAATGGGCCCACAGAAGGCCCCATTTTGGGTTGCTCTAGACTAGACAAATAATCGGGGTTGACCAACTTTTGTATGATATTCACACAGTCTTTAATATTTGGTCTACTGATAAATTAGTAGTATGGGTTCTTTTTTATTTCATGTATTTCATTTACTAATTTAATGTCTAGAGAAACTACTCTGACTTTTACATAAAAAAAACATTTTAATTGTAAAACTTGACAAAAACAAATTTACCACTATTTAGTTTGCACAACAGCTTTAAATAAATATAATGGAATAATATTTTTGGTCAATATCATAATGCATGTTATGGTTTATTGTTGCAGTCTAATGATTGTTGATTATTGTGATGAAAAGCTTGAAATAAAACAAAATTTAAACATTGAATTATCGAATCAGGTATTAGAAAAATTTCTACTTTAGACTGCTACACTGATGGAACAACTCTGGAGAACCTCAACCTATATAGCATTGTATAATCAAAGAACTTCAATAAATATTTTAAGTGCCTCAGAGCTTTTCCAGGTGCCTTACAATGTTGCTACTAGAAGAACCATATAGCAAGGAATTTATGGGTTTTATCATGTAAGTGTTCCTCAAAAAGCTGGCCTTTTAAAGAGTGCCTTTAGATTCTCATAACAGTTCTGCTATTTGGGAATCTGAGAAACCCCATAAAGAACCTCAGATATCTTTTCATATTCACAGAGCATAAGAAAAACCTTTCACCAGCTTAAAACGTGTTATTGAACTGGAGTCATGGATATTTTTTCATATTTAACCTGTCACTGTAATTGTTTATTTACATTTTTCTCTCTTCATCATAAATTGGTTTGTTCATAAATGCTGGAATGATTGGTTATTCACCTTTATTTTTTCCACTGGCATACATACCCTTGCAGACCCAGATCCTGGTGAGTCATGCTCTTCACATGCACAGCTCGTCCTTGGAGACTTTCTGTTTTTTCCTGACCTTGCTCTCTACGGCGGTCACCCCTGTGTTCGTGTTTTCGGAACGCTGGATCCATCTGCCTTGTGGCTGCTTCATCAACTGTCGCCAAGGCTTAAGTTCGGAGCTTTCCACTGGTTGGTAAACTGATAAAATACTCCATCAGCCTGGCTGATTTTTGTTGACTTATATTTATTGGTTCATAAAAAAGAACCATGAGGTTTATTTTAAACAATCCATATTAAAATATCTTAGGTTGTATAAGTTATGAATATGTGTGTGTGTGTGTGTGTATAATCTCATTTATGTGCTGTGAGAAACAAAGCAAAATTACCTTTGCACATTGCCTTTATCATCGATGTGTTTATTACAGCAAAGAAAAGGAGATTTGAATTCAACCTCTCCTTCCAGCGAGGCTATGGTATTTACAAGATCTCCCATGGCAAGTCACCATCCATCGAGAAACCCTCTTTTAACAGTTTATACAGCTGCTATTTCTCTGAAAGCAGAGCCGCAGTAGTGGACAGCGGTCATATTGGTAATTTCAGCACCGTGGCAGCAGAGGACAGCTCCCTCCACAGCGAGATGATGCTCGAGGAGACAGTGGACAGCCAGCCTCAGAGCTCCACAGAAAGGGACAGGCCATGCAATGTCTCACCTCAGGTGTCAACCTGCGATGGTGAGGATCTTCACCTTGACAACTTGTCAGTATTTGACATTCCAGAGAGGAGGCTGTCCCACAAGGAGTGTCGTAAAATAGAGTTGACTGACTGGGAGTGGTGCAGAAGTAAATCTGAAAGGACTCCCAGACAGGTAAGATGACACTTAATTTAAAAAAATTAAAGGGTGCAGTTACTTCATTTTTGTTGTCAGGTAACAAGAAAACTATAGGAACAGGATATTATATCATAGAGCGGAAGACCCACATTCTTGAAAATATCAGATAATTTGATCTATGACATTGCAGAATATTTCAGTTTTTTATGTAATAGTAACAAGAACTTTTTAGACTCATTAAAGGGGGGGTTGACTGCTTTTTTTCTTTGCATGACTGTATTTATGGGGCGCAATATAACATGTATTCGTGGTTTTTCTTATTTTAAAAGTCTTACTTTTCATAAACTTTACCTTTATTGTCAGCCGCACTCTCCTCTGTCCTCGAACGAGCAGTTCACTTCCTGATTCTATGAAAACACTCCCTCGGAAACACGTAGTGGGCTCAGATTGGTTCGTTTGGGCCGGTTTTTTACGGGCGGAATATGTATGTCATGAGCTCCGGTCCAGATGTAAATATGTGTCGATCTGCAGTATCAGTTTCAGGCAGAATCAGACCGAGAAAGCAGCGATGAAGTCAAGCAGAACCACACCACATACTACAGCTCTTACTAAACGTTTCTGAATGATAATTTGCTACATTTTTTAACTTCATACATGTTTATTTTACGCAATATCATCTGACTGGCAACAATAGCAACTGCTACTAATGTAATACTCAAACAGCGTTGGCATGTTTACGTTCTTGATCAAATCGAAAATAACGTCATAAAGCATACAGTGCCCTTCACAATTATTGGCACCCCTGTTTAAGATGTGGTTGAGGACTTTTAAAAATTCTCCCTTTTTTTTAAACAACATAGAACCCAAATGCAAAAAAAGAGAAAAATCCAACCTTTTATTTAAGTACATTACTTTGGTGGTAAAAAAAATGTAAAAATTTAGAAAAATAAAAACTTCAAATCCTGTGTCCCACAATTATTGGCACCCCTAACAATTCCGCTGAAAAATGTAATTGATTTTTAAAAAAATATATATTTTCTGTAGTTGCTAATGTTGGTCAGGATATCTAGGAACTTTTAATTAGTAATTCATGACTTCCTATTTCCCTGGGGTATAAATATGACATGACACAGAGGCCTAATTCTTTTACCCATTTGTCAACATGGCAAAGACAAGAGAACACACCATTCAAGTAAGGCAGATGTGTGATGACCTTTATAAGTCAGGCAATGGCTACAAGAAAATAGCCACTCACCTTATATTGCCCATATCTAAAGTTAGAGGAATCATTAAGAAGTTTAAAACAACAGGAACAGTGACAAACAAGGCTGAAAGAGGTCCCAAGTTTATCTTGCCACAACGCACTGTGAGGAGGATGCTAAGAAAAGTAAAAAAAAGTCCTAAGCTCACTGTCACAGAATTGCATCAAATAGTGGCATCTTGGGGTCACAAAATCTCCAAAACAACCATCAGACGCTCTCTACATGCCAACAAGATGTTTGAGAGGCATGCTAGGAAAAAGCCTTTTCTCACTAACACTGACAAACGTAAACGTCTGGAGTTTGCCAAGCGGCACTGGGACTTCATCTGGGATCGTGTGCTTTGGTCGGATGAGACTAAGATTGAGCTTTTTGGCAACAAACACTCTAAGTGGATCTGGTGTAAAACAAAAGATGTGTATGCCGAAAAGTACCTCATGCCCACCGTGAAGTATGGTGGAGGATCTGTGATGCTGTGGGCCTGTTTCTCTTCCAAAGGCCCTGGGAACCTTGTTAGGGTGCATGGCATTATGAACGCTTTGAACTACCAGGACATTTTAAATAAAAACCTGATGGCCTCTGCCAGAAAGCTGAAGATGGGTCGTCATTGGGTCTTTCAGCAGGATAATGATCCAAAACGTGTGGCAAAATCTACACAAAAATGGTTCAGTCACAAACTCAAGGTCCTCCCATGGCCATCTCAGTCCCCAGACCTCAGTCCAATCGAAAACCTGTGGGGTGAGCTAAAGAGGAGAGTGCACAAGAGAGGGCCCAGGATACTGGATGATCTAGAAAGATTTTGCAAAGAAGAATGGTCAAAGATCCCTCTCTCTGTGTTCTTCAATCTTGTGAAATGTTATAGGAGGAGATTAAGTGCTGTCTTGTTGGCAAAAGGGGGTTGTACAAAGTATTAACATCAGGGGTGCCAATAATTGTGGGACACATGATTTGAAGTTTTTATTTTTTTAAATTTTAAAAAAAATTTTTTACCACCAAAGTAATGTACTTAAATAAAAGGTTGGATTTTTCTCTTTTTTTGCATTTGGATTCTATGTTGTTTAAAAAAAAGGGAGAATTTTTAAAAGTCCTCGACCACATCTTAAACAGGGGTGCCAATAATTGTGGAGGGCACTGTATATATATGAAAAATACGTTTAAAACATTAGTACTTATAGAAAATTCAGGTCCATAATGTTTGTACGCGTTTGTCGTAGACACAAAATAGCATAGGCTAACTAGTAGTGGCTATAAAGCCAGCGCTGGCATTTGAAAAAAAAATAAAACACAAGGCTAACGTTACGTCTGGAATTAAACATGCAAATACATTTAAAATGATGAAGTCTTAGCCTACTTACAGGTTGTGGCCCAACAACTGCTGCCTCTTGTTTTAAAGTCGGAACTGCTTCTTGTTTTACAGTTTACCTCTGACTCCTCTTGCAAAATGAAACTTTCGCCTCAAAACAGTTTTACCTGTGTTCAAATTCAAACACTGCTCTCAAAACAGTTTTACCTGTGTTCAAATTCAAACACTGCTCTCAAAACAGTTTTACCTGTATTCAAAGTCAAACACTGCTCTCAAAACATAAACAAAGTGATCAAAATGCTATACACCATCAAGCAGTCAGTAAACAATACACCAAAAAAATTAAAACACATTGTTCAAAACATATAGTTCTCAGGGAGAACTATATGTTAAAACAAATCTCAAAACAAATTTAATATTTTTTTCATTGTACAGTCTAAAGCAGTGCACTGTACTACAGTATACAATACTCAAAGGGACACAAATGAAAGGAGTAAACGTGATCAATGTGCTTCTTGTCTTTGGCCTGGGTCAGGCAAAAGCACTTCGTCGACATCACAAGCAACATTGTCCCTTGTCACCCTCCTCCTCCTCCTCTTCTTCTTCCTCTTCCTTGCCCCCCTCTTTCTTGCCCTTCTCTTCCTCCTTCTCCTCTTCCTCCTCCTCTTTCTTGCCCTCCTCCTCTTCCTCCTCCTCGTTCTTGCCCTCCTCCTCCTCCTCGTTGTCCACCTCGCATACGCCCTCGTCCTCTCACATTGTTTCTTCTATCCATTCTCAGACTTTCTCCATTCCACCTTCAACAACCTCTCAGTTCAGTTTGCTCTCTGAACTGGCTAATATTGGTTGTCACATCATTTGAAACAGGTTGAATCAGTTTTGAGGGGTTGTGTTCAATCAAATGACATTTGTTCTCTATTTGTATTTGGTTTACTTGCCACTTGTGTTTCCCAGTATGGATGATATGTGCATTAGAGTGCATAATGTGTTTTGAGAATGAGAATGTGTTCAGAGTTTTGCTGAAAAGTCTAAGTGAGATCTGCAAATTGTGTTGTACCATGTGAAGTTGTTTATGGTATTGACAACAGACTCCACAATTAGCTAAATGAGTTCAGGCAATTGAGAACTTTGTTCAGCCAATGGATTTTAGTGTTTTAGCAATTGAGAAAAACTGTAATAACAGTTTCTTGTTGAATCCGGTGTTCAACTCGTGGAGATTCTGGAAGCTGTCTTCCGTAAAAATGCGCAGCACAGAGAGCTATATTACGATCGTCATTTTCAGGAACATAATCAAACATATATTGTATCCATTGTTGAGGAAGTATAGCGTCCATGGGAAGCCCGAAACACAGAAGACCTGACAGCTGCGTGAACAACACACTCGACGAGTCGACGTGCCTCAGAAATATGAGCATGCCATTTTCTGCATATTCCGGAGGGAGGGTTGATGCAAATGTGTGGGTTAGTGACGTACCATAACCCAGCAGTGGTCCCAATCGAGTCGTTTTTGTAGGCAATATACTTCCTGATTTTTAAAAGACGATATCTCTGCTTACACTGAACTTTCAGCGCTGCAACTTTGCAGATACTGTTCATGCACCAACAGCAACATTACACACTATTTAAAATGAAAAAAGTGAAATCGCAGTCAACCCCCCCTTTAAATCAAAACCTTCTTCAAGAATGGTATGTTTTTTAATGGTTCAAAACCATTAATACTTTTCAAATAATATTGCAGAATTTGTTTTCTTCATCTCTGACATCCCAATATCTCAACTTTGATTTAATTAAAGCAGCACTTTGCAAGATTTCCATTTTTGTCAAACTTTGACCCCTAGAGTCGCTGTGGAGTACTTGTACTGTCGTAAATAGCATTCACGCAGAGATGTCTCTGCACTCATGGCCTAATTCCCCCCCCCCCCCCCCCCCCCCCCGACTGTATACTGGTACCTGTTCCGTAGGATGGAAGCTGTAAACGAATGGAAATAAGGTGTGGCCCCTTTAAGAGCTGCGCCCTGTTGAACTGTCAGCAGTCTGTATTGTATGCGCCTCTAACACCGCATGTATACGGCGCCGGGTTATTTCTGCTTGATGTTTATTTTTATCAGATCTTTCTTGCCGTAAAGCAGTTCATTACATTGCGAGACCTGATATCACGGGACACTTCCTGATGCTCTGGCCGGTGGCAACACTTGTTGGAGACGCACAACATTCAACCCGAAAATAGTCATATAACCGTTAACCATAGCAATAACTGAAGCTATTCAGTTAAGGAAAAAAAAAATCTATCTAATCTATCTATCTATCTACCTATCTATCTATCTATCTTTCTTTCTTTCTAACTAATCTATCTATATTTCTTTCTAACTAATCTATCTATCTATCTATCTATCTATCTATCCATCATCTATCTATTTCTTTCTTTCTTTCTAACTAATCTATCTTTCTCTCTTCCTATCTAATCTATCTTTCTTTCT